AAAAAAAAAAATCCATGCAATCTTTTTAATGGGGTGTTTAGATCATTTACAGTTAATGTGATTATTGATATGGTTAAGTTTGAGCCTATCAGTTATTTGTTTCCTATTTATCGCATCACCTTCTTGTTCATTCTTACCTCTTTTTCTATCTTGTTTTGAATTAACGCAGTATTAATGAAACATTTTATTCTGGTAAAAGGTATTTAACAAAAATTGCAATTTTGACTTTTTAAGTGTCTAATTCAGTGACATTAATTGCATTCACCATGTTGTGCAATCACCTATTTCCAAAATTTTACATCACCTCCAAAAGACTCAGTACCCTCCCACTTCCAGCCCTAGTCTCTACATACCTGCCTAGTCTACATAGTTCATGCTAAGTGGGATTATGCTATATTTGTCCTTTTGTGTTTGATACCACATAACATTTTCAGGATTCATCCATGATGAACAATTTCTCTTTATGGCTGAACAATATTCTATCAATTTTTTTTTTTTAATCCATTCATCTGTGGATGGTTACTTGAATTATTTTTCCTTTGGCCATTGTGACGAATGCTGTAAATACTGGTGTACAAGCATCTGCTTTCAATTATTTTTGGTATCTATTCAGGAGTGACCTGTATTTGGAATGGCACAACTATAGATCTTTTCCAATCAGGTCTGTAAGATAGACTGACATGACAGTCAAAGCAATGGACTGAAACATAAAGCAATCATGAAGGCAATATTTCACTTTTTTAAATATAAGTTGCTATTAGTTGGAGCCAAGTTGATGGATTCTTGGTGTGGCGCTGCAGCCATCAGCACTGGACTGTGAACCACAAGGTAGGTGGTTCAAACCCACCATTTGCTCCTTGGAAACTTTATACAGGGTTGCTATGACTCAACTGCACTTTAACAACAATTATCAAGCATCATATTAAGTACTTATTGACCAGATAAATACCTTCTTTGGAGAAGTAGTTGTTCCTTTGCTCATCTTTAAATTGAGATGTCTGTGTTTTTGAGTTGTAGTTTTATATACAAGGGAACTTCAAAAAGCTCATATGAAAAATTTCATTTTGATTCTATTTTCCATAAACATTTTCTATCTTCCTTCCATATTTAAGGTTAGTTTTTATTAGATGCTGTTACAAAATAATTATAACAAGTTATGCCTTCATTTTAATAAAGTCCTTTGAAGCTTCACTTCTATTCTTCCGGGAAGTTTTATGGTACTAGTTTCTATATTTAGTTCATTAACCCATTTAATTTTTTTTACATGGTGTGGTAAGAGTTTAGCTTCAATTTTAAAATTTTTCATTGTAAATTGGGTGAAGACTTACAGAATCAGTTTTCTGTTCAATTCATATACACATCATTGACTGACATCTCCACATGTAGCATTCATTATCCCACATCCCCTAAGTTTCCTGTTTCCATCCTTCCTTTCCTAATACCTCTGAACCTTGCCCTTGGGTAAAAATAATCAAATGATTATTCTAAGGTGTGCATAACTCACTAGTGTTACTGCTCTCCTTAAAGACTTTATATTGTTTGGCTCCATTGTCTTAGTGGTTCCAACCAGTAAGCCTGGTCTTTTTATGATTTTGAGTTTGTTCCACATGTTCCTCCCACTCTAAACAGGACTTTCTAATGTCATTCCTTTCTAGGGTAGCAACTTAAGCTGTTCCCGCACTATATTGTTTCCCCAATGAATAAACTTGGTAAACTTGTTGAAAACCAAAGAGCTTTATTTCTGGACAAAATTCTATTCCATTGGTCAATGTGTCTTATTATTAAACCAGTACCACACTGTTTTGATTACTATTTATATTAATCAGGAAGTGTGACTCTTCCTATTTTCTTTCCGTTTTTCCCCCCAAGAGTGTGATGGCTATTCTGGGCCCTGTACCTTTTGTGGTTCTGTTTCATCTCCTGTTAATTGGCCACAACTTTGTAGTTTGTTAATGGTTGCTTTTACAGTTGATAGTATCCTTTTACTTATTACAGTTAACTTCAAGGGATTCCACTTCACATATAGTGTAATAACCTCATGCCGACCTTGTGGCCCAGCGCATTATCCTGCAATGCCATACCAGGCTAATCCTTTTGTTGTTGCTCAGTGCCTTCTAGTTAGTTTCAACTCATAGCGACACTGTATAGGGTTTCCGAGGAGCGGCTGGTGGATTTGAACCGCTGACCTTGCAGTTTAAGCTGACCTTAAGGTCCAGTACTTACTCTACAGTGTCATACCAGCTCTCCAGGCCCACCCTTGTTGTTGTTGTGAAGTGCCGTTGAGTCAGTTCCTACTCACGGCAAATCTGTATAGAATTTCCAAGGAGCAACTGATGAGCTTGAACCACAGACCTTGCAGTTCAAATCGACCTTGCTGTCCAGCACGTTAACCCACAGCACCACACCAGGACTCCAGGTCCACCCGTCATGTAGCAAATCACCCCTGAACTCATACTAAAAGGCAGAGACCAACTATGAGCTAGTCAGTGAATGTCAGACAGGCTCCGGTAGTCACAAGATATGCCCTATGTCTAGAGACCAATGGTAGCTGATGCTGATGTAAGAAATGATGGCAGAAATGATCATATAAGCCTGAGTAAAAACACAGTCCTATGGGTATTAAGAAATCTGAAAACAATCATTAAAAAAAAACAAATTTTTTAATTTTTATTTTCTACGGTGGACAGTCATCATTTGCCCCAACAGCCATCTGAAGCCAATAGTCCTGGTTATTAAAAATCACAAAGTTGTACAAATGTTCTCCTCCTTTTCGAAAACCATGCTCATTTTCTCTCCAAGAAACAGGGCTGTCTGCAAAGCCTTGAACAGATAAGGAAACCCAGGGAGCTAACTTTGGTTCATCAAAGTAGTGACTGAAAAAGAAGACAATTTTAAAACAACAGGGAGAGTTAGAAATGTTCACATTTATTTATCCAGGATATGTGGTATTTCTGATGAAACATAAACCTAAGTTTTCATTTAAAAAACTAAGGAAATGTGAGTTAAGTTCCCGATGCCATATTTTAAATTTAATAATGACATACAACATGCCACAACAAAACAAACTTAAGCTGTTCCTAACTTTATTATGGAAGATTATTAAAAAACAAACAAACCCATAAAAGTATACAACCATAGTGTCCCTCCTTTAGAAAGGATGCTTTCAGGGTCTCTAGTAGTTGGAACACCAAATAATTCATTGTCTCTTAAGAAACTGACTTTCCTATTGCAGAAAATCAAAATACTAAATTTTGTAAATATAAAAAAGGATACTGAGTTTAAAAAGGGAAACTTTAATCAAACAAAAACTTGGATATGAATGTGCACAGTGGCACTAATCAAAACAGTCCATAGGTAGAAACATCTCAAATGTCCATCAAATAATGAATGGATAAATAAAAGGTGGTATAGCCATACTCAGAGTCCTGGTGTGGTGCCATAGGATAAGCACTGGATGGCTAACCAAGGCCAGCAGTTCAAACCCACTAAGCCGCTCCTCAGAAACTCTAGACAGGATCACTCAGTCAGAACTGACTCGATGGCACTTAACAACCACCAAATCCACTGCGATCAAGTCAATTCTGACTTGCAGCAACCCTACAAGGAGCTCTGGTAGCATAGTGGTTACCAATCGGGCTGCTAATCTCAGGGTCAGCAGTTCGAAACTACTAGCTGTTCCGCAGGAGAAAGATG